CAGCCCTCACCCCAAATCACAGCCCTTGGTCCCTGTGTTCTCAGGTGGCTGATGGATAGCATAATGCCTCATAGGAAAGAGAGCCTAGAGCATCCGGTTCCTGAGCCTGTGAGGAGCTGCGCGGGCAGGAGGAGGGGAAGGAGCCTGGAGGATACAGTGTTCTGACTTCATCCCTGGTAGAGTCAGCCAGAGGAGAGGCCTTCCTCCTCTCCAGCCAGGGCGGGCCCCCGGCTCCCCAGTTCTCCCAGTACAACCACTCTCATGATCTCACTGCCATGACCAGGACAGGCAGGTGGCCAGGAACCAGGGGCCTGCCAAAATCTACATGCTCCAGAGACCACCATGGCCTGGGTGTTGCCTGGTTAACCTCTACCCACCCAAACAAACGCCTGTGACACACTTTGTCCCACTGAGGATGTGTTTACAGCAGCCAGTCAGGCCCACCTCTTTTCTTGACAACGCTCATGGGGAGCCAGTTCCCCATCACTCACTGTGTCTGTCAGCTGAACACCCCAACTCCTCCTACTACTACTGAATTCTATTCAGCTGCCGTGGGAATCCGCCCTGAGTAACTTCTTATAATTTCACGCTGTGGTGGTGAGAGACAGAGGTGGTTATATGGAAAAGAGGAATGGGCTGACATCATTTCTGACATTTTGGTGGTATCTGTTGAGGTAATGGTAAAGGTGATAATAAAGTAGAGAGATGTTAGGAGTCATGGTGGTGGTAATGTTCTGGATGGAGTTGGTGGCATGGGATGTTATAGGTGATGGGGTGGGAATGTTAGGGATGGTGGAGATATTAGTAGTGGTGGTGGAGGTGATGGGGTGGGAATGTTAGGGATGGTGGAGATATTGGTAGTGGTGGTGGAGGTGATGGGGTGGGAATGTTAGGGATGGTGGAGATATTGGTAGCGGTGGGGGGTGACAGGATAGGGGTCATGGGGTGGCAGAAGTGATATCATGAGTAAGGCAAAGATATTATAGGTGGCAGATGTGATGGAGTGGAGGTTTAAGACTTGTAGCCAGACAGTGGGGGCGCATGCCTTTAATTCCAGTGCTTGGGAGGCAGAGGCAGGCGGATCTCTGTGAGTTCAAGGCCAGCCTGGTCTACAGAGTGAGATCCAGGACAACCAGGGCTACACAGAGAAACCCTGTCTGGAAAAAACAAAAAAAGAATTGTCAAGGAGGTTGGTGGCTGTAGTGATAGTGGAGATGACAGTGGTGGAGGTGGTGGGAATGGAGGTGGTCATGGTGATGATGGTGGAGGTGGTCATGGTGATGATGGTGGAGGTGGTCATGGTGATGATGGGGGAGGTGGTCA